CTCTTTCCACAGAGTTCATAATTCCTATATCTCAGCTTACAGCATAGCCCCTCTACATCATCTTTTGCATACTTCTGGGCATCAAAGATCCAGTCTAACCATTATGCTTTGTACGTATGCAAATAAGCATGTTACATATATAAGTAATAAATACATAAATAAAACAAATTACATTTAACAATTGAAATAAATATTCTGAAAGGTCTGTAGTTTTCCATCTGAATGAATGGTGGATAACACTGAGATTAAATAATTAATTCAAAATTAGAATGCAGGTGTATTCCTTGCATATTTCTGAATCAATAATGAATGTATTTAAAATTGAAAGATACAGCCTCTATATTCTTCGACATTCCTACCTTATCTGTAGAGTTCCCTTTTCAAGAAAGTACTATATTCCAATTTTATTTTTACAATAATTACATTTTGAATCATCTATTATTATTTGGCAAGTACCATGTAACAGTGCAACAAATCAAATTCGAGTCAATAGTATCGGTAGAGGGCAATAGTGTTTCATACAAGTGGCTAACAGACCTCTAGCAAAATCACCTTTGATGCAGAAAAACACGAGCCTATTATGTACTACATGAATATTAAAGAAGGAAAAAGACTTCTGTATAGCCTATAATTTGCTCCTGTTGAAACACATTCCTCCTAATTTAAAGCATATTTGCATGCTGACCCAAATCCAGCAACCCCCATTCTAGTTTGTACGTTGTTAAAGTAGATCACAAACGTAGTTTATTAGCTGCAGTTTAACACTTATTATTTTCTAAATTAGAACTAATTACATTCCCTAAAGTAGAAAATTAGATCAACAAGCCATTTCACTCTGTACTAGCAAAATGTCAATGGGATAATATTAAGTAAGTGCATTTTTATTCAAATGTAAATTGACAGCACATTTTTTTTCTTTCAATCCTTGAATATTTACGGAGAAGACCACGTGGCTGTTTAACACGCCTCTGCAAACTAAATTAAATTCAATAGTAATATGAATGTAAATCAATTCTGAAGAGCATAAGTTAATTGACAAGGAAGGTTTTTCTTTCTAAAGCTCCCCAAGCAAACAGGAGCAAAAAAGCTTTGAAGGTTTGACTTGGACTAGTATTAAACTTGGTCCCAAAGACTAAACGCTTATTAGTGGTCAAAGCACTCCCAGCATGCTCTTGGATCACATTTTCTGGCTTAGTTTCACTTGAAGAGGATCCAGACTGGGCAGCTAGACTGCTCCATACTAGAAAATCAAGTGCAGTTATTGAGACAACTGGGAGATGGACTTCAAAAGTGCATTCCTGACTGGAACTGCAGTGCCAGAGCAAGTGTACCCAGAATGTCAAGCTCCAGCTTGACTAAAACCCACTAAGGGACACTGGGATGATACTGTGTAAGTGTTTGAGAAGTTTTAATTTACTCTCTGATTTAAGGTGGTCGGGGAATGACACTAAGAATCTTCCCAGTTTGAGCATCTGTAATGAGACATTTTACGCATTGTAAGAGAAGATCTGCAGAAACATAGTCTTCACAGCCTGCATGTAAGAATGTTTTATTGTCTCCAATCTGCAGTTCAGATAATGTGCTAAGTACTTCCAGATGAGGAAGTAATGAAGGCAGATCCTATGCTGACTGAGGAAATCTAAGCCAATCCATACTCCTTCTCTACCTGCATCTGCCCCTTATGTTGTATAGTTCTACATCAATAAACAATACAGCTAAAAGGTTTAGTCAAGGTATGGAAAAAGCTATATTAATAATATAAATATAAATCAAATTACCTGATTGACATGATCTAGTTTTGGACACGGTCTTCCACCATTGTAGGGTTTTTCACGGAGCCATTTAGACCGAACTTTTACCCCACTCCCACAGGATTTACTACAGCGAGACCAATTGGACCACTCACTGAGCTTGCAGTCTGAGGGACATGGAATAATACAGGCTTCCTCAATATAACCTGTGTGAATGGAAAAGAAAGTTAAATCTCTTCAGCATGTCATTCTGCCACTTCTCCCTGAAGCCCTCGTCTACTTCATTTAGATTGTCCGAAGTTTGACTTGACAGGACTGTGTGAATGGAGAGATTTCTTCATCATTAGGGCTAAATCAAATTCTGCAGAAAATTGACACATATAGCTGAAGACTGCATTAGAGTAGCAGCTGAGCATCCTCACTGCTATCTGATTAGGATTCACACTCACCAGATTTCAGCATTCAAACTTTGTGACAGCTACATGTAATTGACACTAGCCATGTCTTGGTTGTATCATTCTTACACTGTAAAAACAGTTTTTTTGGTTTTTTTTTTAAGGAAAAAAAGTTTAATTAAAAGCTCCTCCATAATTATAACAAGTAATCCAATTGCAGTTATACATCAAAAATCCAACTGAATAAAAAAAGATATGCATCTTACCAGCCTGGAGAGAGGGAACTTAACGTCTTGTGACCTTTCTAAGGCTAGAAAGAGAGAGTGGCCTCCCACATTAATGATCTGCTGATTAACAACCATCTGCCCCCAGTAGCACACTGAATAATTGCACTGAAGGGAAAAGCAGATGTTTGGTTTGGATAAACCATTGGTCCTGAGAGGTTGGAGAGAGGTATGACATGGTCTGCCGGGAGTAACATGAGGCCTCAATTCACTGAATGAGTGAAAATGTCTTTCTTTCAAAAGCAACATATGCCGTAGCTCTATGATATGTATCATTTATGACAATATTTTCAGCATAAACTACAAAACCTCAAATAAAAAAAAATGGCCTTTACTGCATTTTTACTACAACTATACCCTAAACCTATATGAACTCTTCCCTTTCCTGTGTCAGAACATGCCTGCAACATATTTACTATTGGCAAACATTCACTTCAAAGACTAAAGAAACCAGTGCATTTAAAAGTGAATTAAAATATTTGATGGACAAAGTTGCAAAATTAATATATATTTAGGTAAGTTCATTCTAAAATGATTGGCATAGTTTGCTAGGCATGGTTTCAAATGTTTCTCACATATCTTGATTTTTTTTTAGTTTGAAAGCATTTCTGTCATTTTCATCAGAGCTGATGTTAGCAGCTTTATGTTTTTAACTTCTGCTCCTAAGTAAAGCTATTCTGTCTCTTCTAAAAGCAACCAATGCCAAACAATCACAAGTTGTGTAAAGAATCAAAACACTTAAGATATTTCAATTCTATATACCTATTTTTAGGTATAGATTAATTTGTTTTAGATATAAAGAACAGAAGGTTTGGGGTTTTTTTTAAATATACAGTAACATTCAGAATATTTTATGGGCAAATTCAGGTGATTATTTTATCCTACATAGCTTTCCTCTGTTTGGAAGTGTTAAATAGCTAAATAAATATACAAAGCACACCTTGAATTTGCATACTGTAAAACTACTCTTCACCAAATGTATCTTACTTACAATGGCTAAAACGTTATTAGCTTGAATTACAAGAAAGTTTATTAAATATCTCTCACCATTTGATTGATCAGCTCAGTGACATTGTATGAAAGGTACACTGTGTTAGACAAAATACATTTTTGAAGATCATATCACTACATGTCAGAGGTGGTGACACAGATTGCCCTGCAGTAGTAAATGCAAAATTGATTACATTTCACCTTACCTGACATCTCAGTCTTAGAAATCAGATGCACCCTATCTCAGAGCCCCATCCTACACTGAACTTTGATTGCATAAACATCAAACTCTGCATCTTCACCAGAAACAAGCTTTCAACAAGCCACCTTAGGTGCTATACAAAACCATATATTCACACAGTCAAGAAACTACTGAATGAAAATGGACAATAACAAAAAAGTTAAAAGAAACAATTCCTTCCAAACAATAAACCAACTGTTTAGTGATATTTATTGTCTGATAGAACCAAGTGAAGATTTTACTGTTCTATGAATTTTCTTGAGATTCTGAAATGCTGTCTTTCAACGTAACTTCTAAGTAATTAATTTCTGGACAGACCTTTCTATGATAACACAATTACACTATTTAGCATTTGTTAAATTTCTGCCTTTGTAATTAATGTCTGGAAGAAACAAATACACAGAAAATACAGAAACCAGAAATGTTACATGCAAATGGGACTAGTGATGCAGGTATATATTTTCTAGCATGAAAAGGACACGAAAAAAGCAATAAATTACCAAGGTAGAAAAACAATAGATGCAGAAGAAGGAAAAAATGAGAGCAGTGAAGTGGCTATGAAGAGCTGAGGAAAAGAGTGTGACGGTGAGGGAGGGACAGTGAAATAGAAGACCAACACTGTAAAGGCTGAAGATACATTCTCTGGACATCAGCAGTTCATGCTTTGCCTGCTGTTTCGGCTCCTGACTAGTCTTCCACTGCATGCTTCCTGCAGCTATTCCTTCTCCTCACATCTGAGGAACTTTGAAGAGATGAGATCTTGGGATACTGTGGTACAGAGCATTCGCCTTGCATGGTTCAGAAGGGTATTGGAAAGAGACACTCATCTCTTAAGTCCTATTCTTTTTCCCAGTGCAGTAGTTTCTCAATTATTTTAGCTCCTATCAACTGAACTTTAAAAGGCTGTGAAATGGGCAGTTGTCTACTATGAGTGAGAACATGGCTATTCTGTCATTAAAGATTTATTAATGAACCACAATTTAGTAAATGGCTTTGAACCACCAGGAGTATGAACTGAACTCATTATTAAAAGGGAAAAGTTTACTGTCCTATTGCTAACTGGCTATAAAATCTGGATTTCTACAACAAAGTCATTAACAAATGTAATGGATAATTAATAGTAGAGGACTTTAATGGACTTCAAACTTTGTCTAATAACTAAGCAGGTTAAATAGGTGGATATAAATTTTTTCCTCACAAACTGCACATGAAATGTGTAAGAACAGATCAACTACTTGAGTTGAAGGGTGTAGACATAAAGAACATCTTAGAAAGTGTTTACATGAACTCTTTTGTCCTTAGGACTGACAGAGTTACGGTCTGCTTTTATGACTAAAATGTCATGCTATGTTTCCAAGAAAAAACCTGCAATGTCAGAATGGTTTGTCTTCTTCAACAGAGATGTTTTTTTCAAGGAAATATAAAGTTCTTGGATCTCATCTCCCAGGACAAAGAAATATACAGTTATTTGTATTTCACTTGTAACAGAATATATGTATTTCTTGAGACTATTCATATTTCTGCCTAGCGATGGAAAGATAGATTGAACTCCATAAGACTTTTTTCTTTTTTTTCAGGATTACCCTTCAAAGCCTCAAAACCTGAGAACAATTATTATGCTTAACTGTCTTCTGCATCAGCAGTTCTGTCTCTGGTGAACTAACTACAGGTCTTTGGGTTGATGGATGACTACTTCATGACTGATGTCCTGTTGACAGTGGAGATACAGTGGCACCATAATGCAGAGGTCTAAGCTAGTATTTCTGGTGCAGGGCAGTAAGTAGCATATTCCTACAGAACACACAACAGGACAGATATATAATCTTGTACATATATAAAAAAAAATCTTAGAACCTAAGCCTACTACCATACTAGATTAGAATCTCCTATGGGAAATATATTTATTTTAGAATAAACTCTTGAGAGAAAGTCTCAATTAAATTTTAACACTGCAATTTTTTGTTGGTAAGTTTGCAGTGTTTCAGGTTAGAATATTGAAAGCAAAAAAAATAAAAAAAATTAAAAAAATCCTAATATAAGTGGATACAGCAAGATCTGACTGACATCTTGAACCCTGCAGACTCTCTTACAACATATGAGGTTTTACTATCACACACACAAGCAATTAAATACAAAATTCCTTGATTCACATTGATACTTCTAGCAGCTGTTGCAAAAGTATTCACTGATACACAGACATTCCTCTCTAATCCCCCACATAAGCCTTGTAGCCATGGATGGCTTTGTAGAGTCAGCACAAATCAATGCATCTCATTTAATTAATGCTAAAGGGGGAAATAATCTCACACTAATAAGGCAGCAGACGAACTATCCTGGACTGGTTGACTGTGCCTAAGGTCTTAACTGTAAACTGAAAAGAATTAAGAAGGGTAATATGACCTATATAAAAATGCTGCGGCTGTCTGCCATTCTACTATGTTTGCCTTCACTATGCACACACAAACACAACCACCGCTCAGTTTATGTGGGTCATGATTCATAATTGATAAATGGTGGAGGAAAGCTAAATATTGTTGAGTAAATAGTGTAAATGACAGTGGTCTGCTTTTGATTTTTTGTCATGAAAATTTCAAGGTACAGTTTAAAGGGACCATGAAGAGACTCTTGATTTTTTTCACAAATACACTGAAACAGATTGCTGGCAGACACATGTCATTATCCACAGAGCTCTAGTATGCTAGTGATGACAAGGATAAAGCTGCGAAAAACAACAACTGCTTTTCTAATGGAAGAAAATGTCTCTCACTTGACTATCAAGTGAACTATACATTTTTTTATTTCTCCAGTAAAATTACCTATGTAGTACTGAAACAAAGCAGAAACCAGAGAAAGGGCAATCTATGTGTCTTCCCTTAGGGAAAACAGGTAAACAACAGCTTAGTTACCACTTTTAGCTGACATTACCACATCTGCTGACAATTGTCAGCTGTTAGCTCCTGCCCACACTCCACAGAACTGGTATGGCTGAAAAATACCAGTGGCAGAATATTTCAAATGGCTGCTGAATGGCGCTAACTCTTTCATCAATAAATTTAGCTCACATTTGAAATAAAATATGTTGAAAAGAAAATTAAAAATGTTAGGCATATATAATACTGAAAAAAACCACAGATAAAAAAGAAAATAAGAAAAAAAACCCCACCTTGTCCCTCTGCAGCTGAAACTTAGGTCTATTTTCAGCTGTTTGGGATTTCTTTTGGAGCATCTGTTAAGCTACAGAAAGCTTAAGATGTTCTTCAGAAGGACTCTGCCCTCTGCTTCTCCAGTGTTCTCACCTAGCAGTAACAATAGATTTATTTAACCATATTTTGCCTTTCCTTTTTTGTTATGATCACTCCTGTCTTTCTGAAAAAGTTATTTGTATTTATGACTTCAAAGCTGCACTCAAAATTTCAAAGATTATCACAAGAATCCTCTCATGGGTCTACTAATTTAGGGCCTTCCTTGTATCTCACCCTTCCCTTAGCTCCTTGTAGTCTGTGAAACTATTAGTTAACTCTTCTCAAATCTTTTGAAATTGAGATATGTCAAGCAGTAAAAAGAGCCATGAAGTATTTATGTTTCTGCTCCTATTTACCTTTTCTTTCCCAAGTCAATTGAATTGTGATTATAAGCACACAACATTTCACAAAACAAAGAGCTTATGAATTTTTTGGCCCTGCAGAGCCGATCTGTCTCCTCATTCCTCCCACTCAAAACTGCATGACTTGCAACACTGACCTATTCATGGCCTCATAAATTTACATGGCAGTGTTTACAGGAAACTTTTGACAGTCTCACAATTTGAGTTTCTTGTGGCATTTTAGTATATTACACAACATACCTCATGATATATTAATAACATCAGTGTTGGTGTAGTTTGTCCCTCTTGGCAGATTTAGAGAATGTTGTCACAGGTGAAGAAGTACAATTATCCCAATTTCCCACCTCATGATTTTGTAGTGTCACGAGATAACAAAAGTTCAAATAAAAGTTGGACACCGCACAGGAAACATCTTCCCTTAAATAACGGTCTTGATTTCTCTCCTAGTCCAAGTTAATTTGCCAAATTATATCCCATAAAAGCTGTGATTACATACTATACTACTTGGAAAAGAAATAACAGACTCACAGGAACTAAAACAGATTTCTGAATAAAGTAGGTAACATAGCAGACAAACCCGACTCCTCTTCTTTGGATCAGTTACAAAATTAGTGAAAAATTCAGTGTTATTATTTCTATAGGGAAATAAGCAACTCTGTCAGAATTTACAAAAATAATCGAAGTGGGCTTGAATTATGTCCCATCAAGTTTAGCTTGAAAAACTAAAAGCAGATTGCTGTGAAGCTACAAGGCCCTTTTATTTGCTAGCAGGTGGGGTAACTACAGAAGTCCCTTGTTGATTTGGCATAATACATTCTTTATGTTAGTTCTTGAAGAAAAAACAAACAGTACACTGAAATATAGAGATGATGCCAAACTGAAGAACTGTCATACACCAAGGGTATGACAATAACAAGAAAAAACATTATAAATACTGTCAAGATATAAAATAAGATTTAACTGGCAAAACAGCAGTTTATACATGTTGAGAAAAATAAAATAAATCATGAGAACATAATCCATCAATACAAAGTAGATACTAAGAAAAGGTAGCAAACATACTGAAATTAGATTGAAACATCCATCTTATTTGTTCTAGCCCCACTAAACCTGGAAAAATGTTGAAGGTAGACAATAAATTAGGTAAACCTTAGAAATAATCTGTACTATGTTGTGTACAACACTGATCAATACTAGATTTTTGTTCTGGAAAAGCTACTGGAAAGGAAACCACAATTTTAGTGACATATTCCTTAGCATCAATTTAATTCCTTACCATCAAAGTCAGGATAGATACCTCATTCCCTGTACACCTAAAATTCCTGTCAAACAATTGTAGGAAGTTCAAGGAATGCAGGATTAGTTCAATAGCAATTCCCAGCTTCATCTGTCCATGTACTACACCATGATAAAGATAAAGGCCCTCTCTCCCTGAGGTAGAACTGATTAGAAAACAAACACAGAAGTCTTGCGCTTCACTGTCAAAAGCAGGTAATGAAACGGGGGGGAGGGGGAAAATCAAAGCCAAAACCAGACACCTTAATAAACTGATCTAGAGAGAAGGAATTCAAAATAAAACAACCCCAAAAAACAAAGGGTTCAGGCTTCCCAACCTACAATAAACATAGTAATGACACACAAACATTGCCAGTTTACAAAGAGAGCTAAAAGATACTTCAAATCTCCCATAAGAAAAGTGAGACGGAATTGTAGAAAGAAAAAACAAAATAAAGCAATGCTATATTACGTTTTGGGAAGGTTGTCTCTGGAGCCTGCTAGTGCTAATAGCATGTAAACAGTAGCTCTAGCTATAGTAGGTGTAATAACAGTGTACTGTTAGTAGCTTTTCTGCTGGATTATTATTCACTGTGATCACTGTAAGCGTAGGCAACATTCACTGATAAAATCCATTAGATTAGTGTATTTGGTCTGGCTGGGCTGGAGTTGATTTTCCCCGTGGCAGCCCTCAGAGTGCTGTGTTTTGTATTGGTGGCTTGAGGGGTGTTGATAACACCCCAGTGTTTTGGTTCCTGCTTAGCAGTGCTTGCACAGCATCAAGGCTGCCTCTCCAACATTTACCCCCCCAGCAGGCTGGAGGTGGGGAAGGTCTTCGGAGGGGACACAGCCAGGACAGTTGACCCAAACGGACCAAAGGGATATTCAATACCATATGACATCTGCTCAGAAATAAAAGCAAGGAGATCAGAGGGAGAAGGGAGGGCATCCATTACTTCTGTTTGTCCTCTGGCAACAGCAACGCATATGAAGCCTTGCCTCCCGGGAAGTGGCCAAACATCGCCTGCTGATGGGAAGTAGAGAATAAATATTTTGTTCTCTTGCTTCTGCGTGCGCAGCTTTGCTTTGCTTCTATTAAACTGCCTTTGTCTCAACCCACGAGTTTGTTTTTTTTGTGTTCCATCTTATTTTCTCCCCCTACCCAACTGAGGAGGGGGAGGGATAGAGTGGGCTTTGGTGGGCATCTGGCCTCTAGCCAGAGTCAACCCACCACAATTAGAAATTGCTGTCATGAAGAGTATAACAGGGTCAACAAAGACAGTTGAGAACATTATTTTTTTCCATTTTTTATTCCTCTTTTATAACTCTCCAATTCTTGCAATGGAATTGCACCTCAACATGTGCTGCCAGGGCTTGAAAGCATGCACATCCATGCTTGTTCTATGAAAAGAAAGAGTTCCCACCTCTTGCTAGCTCCTTCAAACAGCACATTGCCTACTATATACAACACCTACAATTGGCTCTTGGACACACAGCTTCTTCCCTCATGTGTCTTCCCTTGGCTGTTGACACAAAACCTGTCAGTCCCCATTCTTCAAGTCAGTGAAAGCTGACTGGCAGTAGGCCATCAGTCCCTCTAGTTTCTCATGGATTAAATTCTTTTGTAATTTTCCACTTTTCAAAGGTCACTCTAGACTGAATGCTGAAAGAACAGTAATTTCTAACATAATGTCACATATAGATAAAGTTTTAAAAAAAAAATAACAAAGAAATAAGGAAAAAGTTTCAGTTCCGTTTTGACAACACTGCCTTCTGAACAATTCAGACTGTTCCACAACCTTTTTTTTTCAGTCTTCCAGCTTTCTGAGGAGCTTTCTAATTCCCTCAGTACAACTACCCAGCCCAGGCAGATCTGTGCGCAAACAAGTGCTGGTTGTTAGAGGTAGATGCATCTTTTGGTACTACAAAGATGGCAAGTGGTCCTGGTCAGGCTAAGCAAGTGTAGCACGTCCTACACAAAAGAACAAAATTCAATATTTGTGAACCTCAACCCAGAGCAAACAACTGAGAACAGAATTAAAGAACATCCTCAGAGTAGAAAGAGGTTTCCTGTCCCATGCAAGTTTAGGATTTAGACTTTGTCATTCAGTGGTATTTATGTAAACTTATCTTTCAGTATGAGTTAACTACAGCAAAAGATGATTTTGAATAAAAATAAACATGGGAAAAAATTCTTCACAAAATTATCCAGTTTTGTTTTGAGATATTAAGCTGAATGCTCACTTTTCCACCAAATCACAAAGATATGCTACATCTTGGCTTGATACATTCAGTTTCTAATTTATCAAAGCTCTAAACAGGAATTAATAGTGCTAATTAAAATCCCCTTAAGTAATTCAATATCTTTGATTAGCTATTTTAACTTTATCCAAGTAAATAAATGAAATTTCTGTTATCTTAATTTAACATCAGGAAGTGGAATACATATACAAATTAAACTTACGTTGACCTTTTAATGGCACTGAGATTAACATCCAGCTTTTCATACTGATAGCTCAGATACAATTTTGCACTGTTAGCAGGAAAACAAATGAACACAAAAACTCCAGTGATGTAAATTAGCACATTTCTGGCTCACTGAAAATCAGAAAGTGCCAGTTTTTATCCTGACACTATAGATGCACCCACTTTAGGAAGGAACACTGTTCCCTCCAGGAGCAATGTGAATACAGAGAATAAAAAGTCTTTGAACATCCTTGGTTTACGGACAACGGAATTATGCGAAGTGTTGTGTGCTGTTGAACTCAGGTCAATGCATGCCTGTTAGGGTGCTGAAGAGCAAATGGTAGAGATGAGGCTATTTAAGGAGATTAAAACTATCTAAAGAATATGAGGAAATAATTTTAGCCTTTCCAAAACAGTCCTGTGCTGTCCCTGTTTATTTTTTGAGGATCTGACCCTTCTAAATGGTTTTATTCTCAAATTCACAGTTACAGTTATCAGGAAAAACAACAAGATTTTGCTTTTATCTATTAAAATACCTAGTTAGTAATTTACTGTGATTTTACTTTTAAATATTGCATTGTAGAATCAGTAAAAATTAAGTTTATTATTTTGTGAGTCAGCAAAAACATGTATTGGGTTAGAAGGTATCCTGGGATAAAAAGCAGCCTAAGCAATATATATTAATCTGCTAATTCTACTTTTGCACATATTATGTTAAATGAAATAAAGCAGGTAAGTAAAGAGATGAAAGGTTTCTAAATACCATGACTGTTGCATCGTGATGTTTCCACAAGTCGATTGTTTTGGTCATAGCATGCCATGGCCTGGTAACGATAGCCTTGTCCACATTCCTTAATGTCTCCTTGTACCTTCATTCCCAGCAATACTTCCAGTTTACCCTCCGGTAAAATACAGTCTGACCAATTTCCCACAGGCTGAGCACTGTACTTGTCGCATGGGCAGAACTGATTCTCAATCAGAGGATACAACTGGGAATTTTTGCATTTATCTCTTTTCTTACTTTTTCCTAGAAAGAAAAAATAATTTTTTTAGAAAGTTTGTAACCGTTTACATCTCCCCAAAATTTTAATTAATCTTTATTTATTTAGGTAAATGACTTGAATTTCTGACGTAATAGATGCCAACAATTTACACAAAGGAAAAATCTTTTAAAATAAAGTGATATATTTACTTTGGATAACAATGGTTGGGGATTATAGTTTGAAAAAGTTCGCAATTAAACAAATTTTCTCCTACTTCATCAGCATTGTGCAGTCCAGTTAAAAAAACTGTCTCTAGATAAAACTTTCTCAAATTGAAGAAAATTGCAGAAGGAAGTAACATGCATTTTTACTGCAGTAGTACCTTCTTTCAAAATGTCAAAATCCTTTAATTTCATCACCTGTTATCATTTGTTAATAATTACCATTCTTCCCCCTTAATAGAATAAGCTCCTTCTGTGAATTTGTTTCTTTCCAAATCTCTTGTTTTTCTTCCACAGCCGGAGCATAGACATCCACTCACCTTCCACTTCCCATTAAGTCTATTTTTAATCTTCTCTTTATAATAATTATTCTCTAAATAATTATGAATTCACTCCAAGTCCACTTATGTGTTAGCCTGGGTAAGACATTGCACAGAGAATACACCACAGCACATGTCACAGTCTTAGCAACTTTGAAGGGGTAACATAACTCAGGAGAGGGAAGTATCTCAAAGTGTTAATAGCATGGTAAGAGAATCTGTTCTTTCTTGCTTTTTTTAAAATAAAAAAAATTGTTAGTCAGGTTTGTTTTTTTTCCCTTGTGGAAGCAAACCTGGCATAAAGTTCACTGGAGTTAGAAGACAGTCACAGTGAGTCTTCTTGGAGATCATGAATTATTCATTGTCCACAGGTCTTCTGATTTACAGGTGGATGAAACTGGGGAAAGGGTTTGGATCCTATCACATTCTTTCTGAGGCTGCTAATGGGCACCCCCCCTAGCTAGCTTTCCTCTACCACAGATAATACAGGCTAATTGGCAAATAGCGCTGTGACAGAGGCTAAGTCTCACTCTTGAGGTTTCATTGTAATTTAGAAACACAGCGTGTTTTTCTTATCTTCATTTCATGCAGAGGAAACAATAAAAAAATAACATTAAAAAGAAGTGGGAGAAAAAAATTAATAAAAATGCATTATTTTTCTGGATACTCTTACCAACAAGAGTGCGTTTTCTTGTCCTGACTCCTCCACAGTTCCCATTACAGGAAGAAAACTTTGACCAGTTCGTAAACTGACAGTCATCTTGGCAGGGAATCTGGCATGTCTGTGTTAAAGATGGTAATGGACCAGAATATTTAAGGCATTCACTGACATCAGCCTGCCCTCCATCTTGTCTGCGGCAAGTAATTGCTGGAAGCAAAAAGGGATGTTGTTTAATTCAACATTTTTTTCATTAATATCTCTAATCAATTTAGTAAGTTTACAATATTCTACCACAAAATCACATTTAAAGCCCTGAATAGCTATACAACCACCTAATATTTGCAATCAGCTATGTCTTGAATGAATACGTTTGACTTTTCTTACTTTTTTGAGATTCTGTTTAAGTTACTATTTATCAGGGCTTACTATCAGTTACTAATTTTATCAGGAAAAAAAAAAAAATCTTACAGACAACTATAAATATTACAAAGGTTGCACCATGTCATCCCCACCTGTTATATCACTTCTCACATTATCATTTTTCCTACAGATACAGTCTATAACTTAGACATTAAAAAACTTTGTATATCATTTTAAGTAGCTGAGTAGTGTATAAGCTGCGAAGTTTTATGAGCAGCGTGCATTTTAGAAAAAGGGATAGACATAAAACTTAGAAACATATTTAAGTTCTGGATACCTCTTAACCACTCACAACAGTATTGCTGCCTTATGTTCTTCTGCAATTTTTAGTCATGAAAAAGGGTTGAAGGACAAAGCATGTTTGCTAGGGGTGGAGTATCAGCAAATAGGGGTAAAATTTTTTATAACAGGATAATCATGTCCTGAATAAAAGCTTCTTACTTATAAGAAAAAAAAGTTTCTTAAGAAAATTTCAGGTGGCACAGAAGAAAGAAATTGCAATATAAGGATTTACAAAGAATATGGCTGTTTCATTAATGTAGTCTTTAACAATGTTCTATTATTGTTTCTAATGGATTTTTTTTTATTTTTAACATGGTTGCTTATCTATTATTCTAACCTAAGCCTCAGTAGATCTAACTTCATTTCCTCGCCCAATGTAAAATGTATTACTCAGAAACAGTAACAAGATTGGAAACTTCTAGTTGTTTGTTTACACAATAGAATTATATTTATGCTTCTCTGCATCTGACAGCACACAGTAGATGCAGTGCCTCATAATGACTGTGAAAGTAATTTGGGTCACCAATTGTTGCAGTAACATTGCATCTGACCATAATATATCATTTGGTATACATATGAGGGAATATCACATTTTATATTACACTCCACTCCATAATTTAAGCATAGCACTTCAATTGTACTGACAATAATTGGTTTAATGGTATATGAATTGAAAGAAAAAAATGTTAATTTTACTAACCAAACTGTTATGGCGTAATCAAGTTCAGTTGTTGGAGAAAAATCATAGAATCATAGAATCATAGA